GGACTTGCGCGTACAGCGTTTAACGTACAGTATCTTCCTTCTTGATGGATCCGTGGCGATCGTTTCTTTCTTGATGGACTTGCGCGTACAGCGTTTAACGTACAGTATCTTCCTTCTTGATGGATCCGCGGTGCTCGCTTCTTTCTTGATGGAATCACACGCGTTCGCTGTCTTCCTCCTGGATGTGATGGCGTGGATTTCTTTTCTGGGCAAGACGGCGCATGGCTTTGGCGTGTATGGTAGACATGAGCCATAGTCTAGACTCCTCACAGGGGGTATGTGCGGGACTATGTAAGGTTCCTAATAATACTAGGGGGACACAAGGAGTTCAGACTGTGGCTCATGTGGTGCAGAAGCTGCAAAGACTCAGCTGCAGAGCGGTGCCGCGCTTGCCCCTTGAAAAAAGACCAGATTGCATGATCTAGCATGAGCGCGCTGACTGCACTATACTGCACTTGTGGATTCTGCGTTCCTCTCACTTCGTTCCTTTGCTTTCTACTGCTGACCCGCCCAGGCCCGATGACCGCAAGGATGTGCAGGAAGAGGCTCCGCGTGACATTCGCTTGTAGTTGAGTTGTTGATCACGTACTGTAGTATATCACAAAATAAGACGACATATACTTCGCGTGTATATTTTTAAAGTTAGTCTAGAATAGCATAGAAATGTGTTGTGCAGTGCGAGATGTGCGATGTATATTGTATACCAGAATTGAGCCCGAGCGTGTTTGCAAGTGCCAGCCCCCGGAGGTTCGTGGCCCTGCAGACTTTGGGCACCCAATCGCTGGCGCAGAGGCCAGACATCCTTAAGGTTCAGGGTTGTGGGGTGGCTACATGTGGCTACTTTCATCATTTCTGACCTCTTTTGAGGGGGCTGGTAGGGATTTCTATTAGAATCCATCAAGGGGCCTAATAAAAGAGGTCCAGAATCTGGATTGCCAGAGATCCCCACAGCAAGATCAGCAGTCGAGGGTGAAGGATTTTGGGGTTTATTGTTTATTTACAGTTTAGCTTTTTAAGGGCTTGGGGTTTAGGGGCCAGACAGACCCACAGGCTAATCATGCTTTAGTCATCTTTAGCCGATGTACTTCAGCTCCTCATCAAGTCCAGCAAACAATCCTTATCCCATTGGCATGGAGAGCCCCCATACCGGCAGAACACGTACGCCCGCTGGCTCGCATGCTGCTTACAGGTTCCGCAGGTATCAGAGGGATGCTTCATGTTGATACATGTGGAGCCTGGGCTGGTGTGTGTTTCATGGGGTTATATGGGGTTGTAGACTACGACTCTAAGTGGGTAGCCAGGTCTTGTATAGAGCCATGTGCAGCCGCAAGCGTGCCCGGGATGCCAAGGCTGACGATGCAGACATAGACATAGAGTCTGCGTTCCCTCCCTTGGCAGTGGGTACCGACTGCTCGGGCATCGAGTGCCCGCTTATGGCGCTGCAGAGCCTGCAGGTTCCTTACATTCATAAGTTCTCCAGTGAGATAGA